GCGGACAGTCAGTGTTTGCGGTGTTTTACCTTGAAATAATAGTGCGTATGTATGTATGTATGTGTGTGTGTGTGTGTGCGTGTGTGTGTGTGTGTGTGTTGCATGAATAACATACTATGATCTTCAGTGCTGATTAAATTGGAATAAACATAAAATATACTGCACAAACGCAGTGTCGCCATTTTTTTGCCATTGGTCCAGACGGTTCAACTGTTAGTCCCGCTGGATCATTCTACTGGGGCCAACATTTAAACCAAGTGGAGTAAGTGCTTGGGGTAACAGTTGAGCCCTTGCAATTACTCCCACAGTTAGTCCAAAATTGGTTCAAAATCTGTGGCAGCGCATTGAGACCCCTAAAGGACCAATGGCATACCCCACTTTAGTCTTTTTCGGCTTAGAGTGTTGGATGGACAGACAAATGGACGCTTGAATGAACGCAGGGACGGACGCATGGACGAACGAATGGACGGACGCATGGACGGATGCACGAATGGACGGACGCATGGATGAACTGATGGACGCATGGATGGACGGTAGCAAGAACGAACGGATGGACTGATGGACGCTTCAATAAATCAATCCAACCGGATGGGTGAGGGTGGGTGAGGGCGGATGGGTGAGGGCGCTCGCATCGCGGAGCTCGCTCGGCGGAGACAGAGCCCAGGCGCTCCTCCTCTCCGCGCTCGGACCTATATGTATATAATGCGGAGCGCGCGCTTTGCGTGTCTTGATAGCGATGGAAGTCGGTGAAGTCGAATCTTTCGCGGCAATGATACCACTAGAACGAAGTGCAAACACAATGCCATTCGAGCATTACGCCACTCCCTGGTGCTTGCGTGACTGCAGTTGCTTCAACGTCATCATCGGTTGGAGAAGAAGACACTGCTGCGAAGCGAAGAGCGCGTAACGCCGAACGCATGCGTTTGAAGCGAGTCGCTGTTGCGGAACTTCTTGATCAGGAAGCCGCTGTGAAACGCCAACGACAAGTCGAAGATCGTGACATGTCTGCTCGTGCAGGCTGCTGTCCGGCATCAACGGCGAGCTGAGAACGCTGCAAATGAACGTCAACGACGAGCCAAGAACGTTGAAGTGGTTCGTGTTCGAGAAGCGGCGGGGAAACGTCAACGGAGAGCCCCCGGCCTTCGAGTGAAACAGCGGGAGGCCAAGCGCCAACGACGAGCGGCCGCTCGCGAGCGGGATCGCGCTCTTCGCACGGCGACTCGGGTGCACCCCAATGCATTATCATTTCCTCACGATCCCACTCGGGGAGGTGCGGTTTTTTTCTTTAACTTACTGGCATTCCACAGCGCTTTTCTAAGTAACCATGAAAAGTCCTCATTTTAGGAGTTTATTGCTTCGCAAGTTCGTGGCGAAAAATTGAAGGCCAAACCTCATAAGCGCGAAAATGCACGCGACAGCGACAAGCGACGCGACGTAGATCGGCTTCGCGCGATCAGTCGCTAGCGCAGGCAAACCTCATTCACGTGACGGCTTCGGCGAGCGAATTCCACTGTTTCTGGCATGAGGCCGTCTACTCGCACCGAGAAAACCGCGTAGCGAGCGGTATGCAATTTAAAAATAAGATATATTGTTGTGTATTGAAACGGAAAGTGTTTATTATTGCCTTGCACCACTTTTTTATATGCACATGCATAATAAACATTGCGTTATTTCTTGTTGTGCATACGTAACTTGGGCAGGGTCACGTGCACCTATGTAGTCTTTGTCTTTTCCGGTATTTCGCTATTGGCTGCTTGAGCCCAGCACTTCCGGGTGATGTGCGACGGTATCCAGATCTGGAGAACCGAGCGATCGCGCGAAAACGAGCACGCGACTCGTCGCGCAAACGCCCTGTTTCGTCGCTCATAGCGTCGCTCGTCGCTGTCGCGTGCATTTTCGCGCTTATGAGGTTTGGCCCTGACGGATCCCACATACAGTGCGAATCGATGAGATGCGAAGCACGAACGAGGAAGGGTGATGGGTCACTTAAATTCGGCACAACGTTGAGATGTGGAAGTAAATCATGCGGTACATGACTTTCACATCGTGATCATCATGTTTGGACGTTTCAGTTACCTTCGCCATCTATTAACGTCACCTGATGCGAACTTTGGCACATATGTTACTAGCGAAACAGCCGCGAGCATCCTATGAGAGTACCATGTAGTCATTTTTACATGAAATACATATCATGATTATCATTTTTGGACGTGTCATTTGCATTCATCGTCCATTTACGTCACGTAATACCGAATTTGGTATATGAGGAATTTGTGAAATGGCTGCTAGAATGCTATGAGCGTAGCATGTAGTCATGTTTCAGATGAAACGCATATTATGATTATCAGATTCGGACGTGTCGTTTACCGTCGTCGTCTATTCACTTCCCGTGATACCAATTTGTTACACGTGGAGCTAGCGCAACAACGGCGAGTGCGTCATGAAAGGCCCAATCTACTCTGACGCAACGTTGATGCACACGCAGGCTGGGCGCAGCGACGCCACGCTAGCAAAACGCGAGCACTCCATAGTGTGACGCCAGGCGTGATCGGCGCGACCAGCGTCCATCGGCAAGGCCCTATGACAACCAGCGTGAATGAAATGCGACATGCTGCATTTCGCGCCGACGACGTTACTTAGAGAGCACCGCGTCTGCCTCTCTTCGTGACGTATAGGGACGTCATGGGCGCTCAAACGCGCATGCGTCAAAGCAACGCAGCGTGGCGCGCACCTGCGAGTGTATGATATGCAGATCCACAATGAAGGTTAGTGGGCAGATCCACTGATCTCTACTAGGGGAATATCGGAGCCTGCAGCGTGGCATCGCCGGCGTAACGCGATAAAACGAACGCCGGTGGGCGTGCGCGCCGGCTCACGTCGAAGTGTATTGGCGCCTTGAGTGTGGCGTGTGTTAATGTTCTAACATGTCATGCATCTCATGATTATCATGTTTGCACCAGTCACATACCTTCGTCATCAATTCACGTGACGTAATACCAAATTTTGGCATATGTGAAGGTAGCGAAACGGCCGCGAGCGCATCATGAGTGTGGGACGTACTAATGTTGTTACATGACACGCATGTCATGGTCATCATGTTTAGACATGTCATTTACTATGTCATCTATTCACATCCCGTAATACCGAATTCGGTTCATGAGGAGCTAGCGAAACGGCCGCGAGCGCATCATAAGCATGACATGTAGTCATGTTGTTACATGACACGCATCTCATGATTATCGTGTTTGCATCAGTCACATACTTTCGTCATCCATTCACGTTCCGTAATACCAAATTTGGTATATGCAAAGCTAGCGAAACGGCCGCGAGCACATCATGAGTGTGGCATGTAGTAATGTTGCTACATGACACGCATTTCATGATTTTGATATTAGGGTCTGTCGCTTGTGTTCGCCATGCAGGAATGTCATACCATACCAGTTTTGCAACATATGTGAATGAAACTACTGCAAGAGCAGCAAGCCCATGACATGTAAATCATGACATTTAAGACATACATATGATTTTCATGCTATGACTATTGAGTTATGTTCGTCATACAGTCATGTTATATCATACCAAGTTTGGTATTGATACCATTATCCAAACGGGCAGGAGAGCTAAAAGTCGTAGGCGGCTAGATAGATAGATAGATAGATAGATAGATAGATAGATAGATAGATAGATAGATAGATAGATAGATAAACTCAATGTCACCGAAGTTTGCCGAGAAATGCTTCGCATAAAAAAAAGTACGAGAGAAATAAAGGTACTTGTCGCAAGGTCTCAGTGTTTTCTCCATACTTTCTTTCTAGTGAGCGTGAGGGTGGGGTGGAGGGGGAGGTAATGACAAAGGGTCACGAAGCTACAACCACAGGTCACCGCGCCTCATGACGTTGTCTTCTTTAAAAGCACACGCGGGTGCTCCTTTACCAGCGCCGAAGTTGAATGTGAGCTGAATGTGACCACACATTTGATTTTAAGTATACGGCCTCAATATCATGTGCGTCATCGTGACGTCACATGTCAAATCTGATGACGTCATCGTGACTTCTTCACAAAAGCTGGCGTCTATGATAATGTCGTCGCTTGCACTTGGTGAAAGGTAGACCGATCCCAGATGCGCTCGTTGGATAGAAAGCTTTCGGGGGAAAGCATATCAATAGACCCCCCGCCCCTCCGACCTTTTTCCATGAGTTAGCTTTTCTTGCACCTAACATGACACCTTCGTTTTCCTCGTTAAAAAAGACTCGAGTTGGAGCATGCATTACGTAACCGGAAGCTTTTACTTTATAGTGTCTTGAACTGCGTCGCTATATCTGTGTGTGATTCTCAGCGTAGGGGAGATTAAGATGGTGTACCGCTTTGCTGTTCATTATCGTTGAGGTGCGCAGTACCTGGGTGACAATGTGGCTTCTGATCTTTGCTGAGTGATAAAAAGGCGTGGATTCCGAGAATAAACTTTTATTCAAACTTGGCGCTCATCCAGTCTCTTCGTTCCTCACTTGTCGGTTCATGTGCGCTACCTGTTCAAGAATGCATGCTTACAAGTCCGCCCAAACTTCCGTTCTCGTAAGCGAGTCGCTTTGACGAAATGTCTGAGGGTCCGTGTGACTTTCAAGATATCACGTTCGAATATTTGCGCTACTTGAGCAAACGCCGATCCCGCTTACCATCGGGGCAGAGAAAGCGGACAACTCGTAGCTATCCGACAAGGCGCGTGCACGCAATTACCTCGAGACCTCCTCCGGCAGGACGCGAACGGAACGGCCGCTCGCGGCGCTGCCATCGCGGGGTCCGGACTCGGGGGGCGCAGGCGTGGCGTGGTGGCCAAACGGGCCAAAACTCGTTCTCCCCTCGCACTCCGGCTCAGAACACGTGCGTTCGCGGCGCTCTTCGGAAGGGACGTGCTTTCACCGAAACCGCGGTGCGACCTCGACGAACGAGAGTGCTATATAGTGTGGTGCCTGAAAGTGAACCTCCATCCACCTGGAAGCACGTGTAGTGGATTGCTTGCGAGGCCGTTTGTTTTCATTTAATTTCTTCACCTTCTGTACGAGACAATGCATCGAGCGTGTTCGGAAATTGCGAGTTACTGTGGCGACTAGGCCGCGAATGAATCTGTAACTAACTGATTGGCTCGATTTCGTTTGGCATGACTGTATTCATCGCGCGAACACATTTCGGCTACACTAGGACCTTGCGTCTGACTGGAAGTGTTTTGTGTGACTTTGTTGGCCGGTTCGGGAGAACGGGCCCTTACCGTGCAACGGAGTTGGTGTGATGTGCACTCGGACACCGCGAGTCGCCAGTGAGAGCTCCTGGTGAAGACCAGTACATTGCGACGTGTGGAGTTAAGTAAAGCCGACGATGCCGACGGAGGCGTCGCCGACTCCTCGCTCCCGGCTCGCCCGGGTCCGGCGCTGCGTCCGCATCTTCCTGACGCACCTGGTGTCCCAGGTGGGCCTCTGCCTGCTGGTGGTGGCGTACGCCATCGTGGGCGCGCTCATCTTCCGGGCCATCGAGGCCGACAAGGAGGTGCACCAGCGACAGCGCGTCTCCCAGCTGCGACGCCGCTACCTACGCGACATGTGGGACGTCACCGAACGGCTCAACGTGTTCCACGACGAGCAGTGGATGGACGAGGTGGGCGTCAAGCTCAAGGAGTTCGAGGACGAGGTGGTTCTGGCTGTTCGCAACGACGGCTACGACGGCAAGGACGTCCAGGAAGAGGCGCTCCAGTGGTCCTTCTCGGGATCGCTGCTCTACAGCATCACCGTTATTACAACCATCGGTGAGTCCCTGTCTGAAACGTAGCTTCTTTTTCCTCTCGATAAGGTACATTAACTTTTATTTTCGAGCTTTTCTTTCCTCTCATTGTCACTGTTCGTTGCGCACTATGGTAGTACTCGTCACATACTTTGCTGCGCTACTCTGTCCGCCAGGATAAACCCGTGCGAACCGAGGCAGATGCTTTGCGCGTGGATGTGAGAGCGTATGAATGGGGACAAAAACAATATTTGAATAAAAATCCCAATATATGTAACTAATATTCATAGTATTTTCACAATTTTCTTATGTTTCTTATTCACTCAGGCACTTATTCACCTTTTAGGTATTTGTAACTTCTATACCATCCGATTGCGCCTTTCCTGTGCCTCCGGAAAATAAAACTAAACCTATCTTTTACTTCATAGCTGTAATATGTCAACCTTTTTTTTATAATTAACCAAGTATTTAAATCATTTAATGGTACATACATATATGTTTTTATGGAGATGGTAGGCGCTTTTACTTCAATTCACGGAATGGTTTTTTTGGCTACGGAATAGATATGATCCCGGAGTCTGAATTACCTACAGGCTCGCCCTGCAAAATCTTCCCGCGCCTGATGAAGAAAGAAATGAATATTTCCTTTTTTTGTCAATCAATCAAACACGTACTACATAAGGCCCGTCATTGCGGAGCCATAACGCACATGGCCCAGTTGCTATTCGTCAGAAGGAAGATTTCGTGTACACAGCAGCGTGTCTTGTAAACGCTGCGTGGCCCGCGGTCCGAGCTGCGCTCATCTGCATGCAGAGAAGAATCAAATTGGCCCGCGCTCCTAGCGAACACGTGCTCTCGGTTTCCGTAATGAGCTCGCTTGCTTTGCAAACAGTGCCAAGCTTGTCCGCGCGAAGCTCTGCTTTTAACGCGGCTGGAGCTGAGTCATCAGACATGCCGCTCACTTGGCATCGAGACAAACTCCAGACATTCATTTGTCTGGCCGTTTCTCTATGTATCGCTGACTGGTATAGTGGCCCTAAGCGAAAGTGCACCTTCGTCACTAACATCTTATGGTTAGAACAGAAAGTGAGATAGGCACCGAGTGCGGTCTTAATGCTTCTTGTGCTTGGGCTGGGGGCAAGAAATTGTCCCACCTTTGAGATTTCTCTGAAACATCACATACTTTAATTGATTGACAGTAAATTATAGCGCATTGGCATATTTTTAGGGCCTGTTTAAATTAAGGAGTCTTTCTGTGTTGAAAATGCGCTAGCTTTGTAAGACTATGAAAATCCAATTGTTGTTCGACTGGTTTCCAAGAAGTCTCAATAGCACAGTGCATTTGCGTCAGGTGGAAAGTCATGCACGTTTTCAAATGTTTATTAAAACGGTGTTAACAATTTATGTTTATTAAAAATTAAACCGCATATTGATTTGCTTATTATATATTAAAGTGTATGCATATTTTAAAAACAAAATCACTGCCATAAAAAGATGTCCCCTCGCCCCCCCCCCCTCGTCGTAACTTTTTGGAATTTAAGCTCCTGGAGCTAGGTGGTAAGAATCCAATGTAAAAAAAAATTGCCCGCAGCTTCCCTCGGGGGAACACTGAGGAGGATGCGGACCATATAATTGGTGAACGGGGTGTTAAAGTGCGACTTACTTGGGTCGATGGCTAAATTGGTTAACGTGGTTGTGAAATGGGGTGTTAAATTGCGACTTACTTGGGTCGATGGCTAAATTGGTTAACGTGGTTGTAGGAGGGGGTGTTAAATGAGTGAACACGTACACACGTATGCGAAAGGGCGGCGCTGGTCGAAGGGACGTCAATCATTGTGTTTGTGGATTCGTTGGAATTCATTTCACCGCGACCTTGGACGTCGACGCGCCGTACAAACCAACCGACGAGCGGCAACTGAGCGAGCGAGCGCCGACCTTGAGTATATATACAGCACGACGGCGCATGCACTGTCAGCTGTTGAATGTTCTCGAAGCGCGACGCCACATGCGCGTCCACTGAAGAATCAGGAGAATTGTAGATGTCGAACGCGGTGTGTAGAGGAGGAAGGGTGCACAGATGGTGGAGGAGTGAAGCGCGCGCGGTGTGTAGAGGAGGAAGGGATGCACAGATGGTGGAAGAGTGGGCGACGGCGCATGCGCGCGCGTCAGCTGTCGAATGTTCGAGAAGCGGTGCGGACGGCGCACTACAAGGCGCGAGTATAAGATGCTCCGCATCTAAAAAATTGGTAAACATAAAAAAGATTTAAGATACGGAAAACTGATGTCACGCTCGAGGCCTCGCGTCTCAGTGTTTGTGTGTATGTACAGTGTGAATTTTTATGAAAGGGAACACAGGAGCGCGTGGCCCGCGTGCTCCAGCTTCTGCTGGCAGAGCGTTCAAGCGGGAGCGGGAGCAACCACTCTCTCTTGTCGCGTCATCTCGCGGCGAGCAAAACAAGCAGTCATTGATGATATAAAACCACTGGACAGATTGCGACCCCCTCCTCCTTCTAGGCGATCACCCTCTTGCCAGCGGTTCCATATTATGCCAAAGTTCCCTCTACTGAAGTTAGAACTTCGGTGCGACATGGTGTCGGTTCCTCAATATTTACTTCCCCGAGCCGAATGTGTTGAAGAAAAGTTACTGCAGGTTGAGCTTTCCTCACACATGAGGACAACGCAGCGACACAAGCAATTGGTCGAATATTTGGTTCGAAATTCACAAAGCAGATTTTTTTCCTCGTCAGTTGTCTTTCTTTCTACCCAACCGCCCGTGCTTTTGTTATGACCAGAGTATATAAGCTAGAATTATGTCACACGAACCACCGTAACGTGACAGCTTTTGGTTACAACGCAGTTTTATTTTTGTTCAGATGACTCAATTATGCTGGACGCAGTATCTCTATGTATACGTGAAAAAAAAAAAACAATCTACTCCCATTTATTAAGTTAGGCGCCGTTTTTTGGGTCCTGAAATATAAAGAAGTTATGCGAAGTTCACGAGGATAGCTTGCGATGGTGGGCTAGTTGGTAATGCGTCATGAAAGGCTTTCAACGCACACATAGACGGGGACGAACGAAGAACACACAAGACATATGCGCTGACGTATTATGTGTTCTTCCTTATTGTGTGTTCTGTCTTCTGTGTTTTTCCCTAATGCCTGTCTATATCTCTACATTTCATTTGTGTGTTCTTCGTTTACCATGTATTGTGCATATGTAGACATTGTTTTTGTAACAATTCCTGTTTAGTTAGGTAAGTTGTGTATGTTGTATTCCGTTTACATATGTACACATATCTTTTTGTAACAACTTTTGGTGTGTCTGTGGATGTTGTGTTCTGTCGCAATGTTCTGTTGGATTGTAATTGATGTTCACTGTCTGTGAGAATAAATTTCTCTAAACACATATAAGTGCTGTAACCTTTAATCAAATTGTGCGTTCTTGTGTTCTGAAGTCGCAGTATCAGTGTGAGGCACTTCTCCATAGGAAACTGCAGAACGATTCCCCACGGTTTCTTAGTGCCTACGTAAACCTGTAAGCACACGCCACAGGTGTTCGTTCATTTCGCATTGCTTCAAAACGAGACCGCCACGACTGGGAATTGAATGTAAGTCTTTCAGCGTAGAAGCTTGACACTTCAAGTATATGGACCTTTTCACAGGAGAACCATACTGGGCTGCGCACTGGAGTAAAAAAATGGCAGCATATCCACGGAGTGAATGATGGATTGAGGGGCGAAGCATCCGTCCGTCCATTAGTTCTTGCTTCCGTCCATCCATACGTGCGTCTGTGTTGCAGCCCATGCGTCCATCCACCCGTCCGTGCGTGTGTCTGTTTGTGCGTCCGCACGTTCATCTGTGCGTCCATTCCTGCTTTCGTCCATGCATCCGCTCCTGCGTCCGTCCATGCGTCCACCCGTCCGTGCAGCCATTCGTGCGTCCGTCCATGCATCTGTCTGTGTGTCCGTTCGTCCACCTATTCAACACTCGAAGTACCACCATCTCGCATCTTTTCATCATATATTCCTCATATAGAAGCACCGCTATCCAGCGTAATTTTCAAGGACAGAACGAGAGGAGGCACACGCACACTTAACGGCTTGCACTTCGGGTCCACCTCCCACCTTTAACCACGTCTGGTTCTTGGTATATACTAGTTCACTGTATTCATGGCACTGCGGCCCAACGCTCGCTAAGCCTTTCTAAAACCAAGGAGGTTACGCCCAGCGAGTATAACGTAGTAACCCTTTCTTGTCAGATAGTGCTCAACGTACATGCCAATGGCTGCTAAGGGGGAATGAGAGATAGGAGAATTCGGCATTTAGTTAACGCGCACGCTGCGAATTTTTTATTGTTCAACAACGCACAAAAGAAATCTCTCACCGGCACCACCTTAGGTGTCAAAATGTAATACTGGTTAGACACTACGACTACTACTACGACAGCGAGAGACGAACGGGTGCCGCTATAAGGAGCTTTGTTACACCAGACAGTTGTACTCACCTGAAATGTTGTTACCAGTTTGCAATAAACTTCCCTGTTTCGCCCCTAAAAGCTGAACTCATTTCTCGCGGATCACGTCCATTGGCTCAGCCCAGAAACGACTACGACGGCGTACAGAGCCCGTTTTACAGCGAAAGCTGTTATAAGATCACAACTCGGGTGACGCGCAGTTGTCCGCCGCCGCCGCCAGTGTCCGTAACCACATCGCGCAAAATTAGAAAAAAGAATCACAGCATATCCACGGAATGAATGAGGATGAGTAGGACGAAGCGTCCGTCAATTCGTCCATGCTTCTTTCCGTCCGTACGTGCGTCCGTGCGTTCGTCCGTCCGGGCGTCAGTCCATCCATACGTGCGGCCGTTCATGCGTCCGTCTGTGCCTGCGTCCGTTCGTCCATCCGTTTGTCCGTTCGTGTATTGTCTGTCTGTCCGTCTGCTTGTCTGTCTGTCCATCCGTGCCTCAGTGCGTCTATTCCCTTCTATTTCCCTTCTTTTTATCATATATTCATCATATACAAGTA